TCCATAAAATATTGAGGGTAGTTACTCCTGCTGGTACTGTTTCTAATCAATTTATTTAATATATTCCAAGTACCTTTCATGTTATTTTTATTATCCTCTAATACTTTAGAGTAATATTGTTTCTTACATATCCTCAATAACGCAGTTAATTTGTTCTTATATAACTTATATTTTTCTTCCGCCTTCTTGGATCTGTCCTTTATAAATTCTTTATATAACGCATTCTAGGTGATCCGGTGCTGATAAAGGCAGAGAGTGCCTCATCTACTCCTACATGACTGAAAATCCACCAGACTTGCCAGTACAAATTATTCTCTATAATTATTCTAATTTGCAATATAATCTCTCACATAACAAACAAGAAGAGGTAGCAACTGTTCCTTCATTTTGCATAACTGGTAACCTGAGATACTTGCTTACTGTGAAATGTACTTGTGTAACCGAGCATATGTGTTTACAGATATAGAAAAGGACACAGGTGGTCACTCCTAATGTAAATGATTAAAATAAGACACCTTTTCCATTGGTTCTGGCAGCTAAGACCTGATAACAAGTTGTAGCCAGGTTCCAGACACACCTTAAACTACTGTCAGGTTGTACTGCTGTGCTTTGATTAGTCCTTGATACTGAGTGTTGTTGCAACCTGGGAACAGAGTTCAACAGTGAGAAATGAGGCCTGAGTAAACTAAAAATGAAATGATGATGTTTGTTTTATACACAGTGTTTCATGCTCTGATTCATGGAAACTTGATAGAGAGCTAATGCCAATAGCAACAATGATTTCAGGCTGTTTTAATGTAAATGTCAAGAGCTGCACAGACAAAATGGAATTATGAAAACACCTACATTGCAGACTCAGGGAAACAAATGAGCACAGGATGAAATATGACCTATGAAAATATGAGAGGCTGATGTCACTGGGATTAACCATTGCTAACTACCTGACAAATTTCTCAAACCTTCATTTTATTGCACTTTCACTTGCCTGAAAAAGGCCCTTCATCCATTTAAACTTAGCAAAAGGGTTCAACTATGCAAGCATATATCAGACAAATTATAGTACTGTGCTGCCGTAAAAACCAATGAAATATTGACCTTCATATGGTGGGCCTAAGTATAAATGTAAAAATGTGTACGTGTGTGTGTACCTTCCAGGGACGACGAATGCCCTTAAAAAAGTCAGGCATCCACATTGGTAAGACCACAGCTTCTCTTAGCAGTTTCTTAGCATCTTCCAGATCGGCAATGTCGTCCCTAGAGTTCATCAAGAGAATCCAGTTTGAAGTGCTAAAGAAAAAACAGCTCCCACAGCAAACAGTGCAAAGTATCATGTAAGGAGGTGTGTGTATGCTGACATACCAGTGAACATTAGGGTTACGAGACACAATATCTCTCTCCAATGAGTCCACCAAGTCGCGGTCATATCCCACGCCATCAAACTTCCTCTGTTCTACATCTCCAGGTGTGTCTTTCTTTACCTGATAAGAAAGGTATTTTCAGGGACAAATCAACTCATTTCTTAAAGGGTAACTAGACCCTCAAATGCATTGAGAAGCCCCTCTGTCAGCATACTTAAAAATCAACAAAGAAGTGAGTAGGGCAGCAGACACTTTAAATACCTCACCTATCCATCTAATTGTCAAATTCAACTACCAATCATCAAGTGTAGCCTCACCTTATCATCTTTAGTCTTTGCGCCTCGGGTATCTTTGGATCCTGGCCGGTCTGGTTTGGGGTTGGCCTGAATGCGACCTCCTTGCCCTGCTCCTCGATGTTGCAGACCAGGGGAGTCCTTCTTCTGCTGCTTCACCGCACTATTTGGTCGCTTCACTGCAACAGGATTCCTACAGAAACACACACACAGGAAAAAAACTATACTAGTGGGTAACAGTAGGATATACCTGCAGACAAAAACATAAAAGATACTGTAATTCTCAATGGGGAAATAATAGTAATAACATAGTGTGCCAAATGTTACCACCAAGTGGCACCGACTTTAAGCCAGTTCTGCTAGTTCTCTCTGGAGGGAAAGCTTGATATGACCAGACGGTAAAAAAAAAATCCAACATGGAAAGTCACAGTGTGCAGGTAGAGATGAAACAGATTATACAAAATATTTTTCCTTGTAGTGTGTCCTTATAGACCTCTTTTGCTCCACTGTTGTTCTGGGTCGCATCAGTAATAATCAGCTCTGCCATAAATGCTACTCAGAAAGTAAAAAGATTACATGGATCACATTTGGCCTGTGACTCACTATGTTGTACTTTTTTATTACTGTCTGATCACTACATAAAGTGGACATATCAAGCTTTAATTTCTATATACACACCTGTGCTCTGCAGGGGTGGGAGGGGGCCAGACTGCCGGATTCTCAGGTCTGTCACCTGACTGAGTGACAAAGATGTCACCTGGCTTCACTGACCTAAAGCTCTCGAGTGTTCTCATGATGCCTTTCACCTGCTCATACTCCTCAATCAGCTCCTGCCTGACCTGATCAAAAACAGAGTAGGGAGAGTATTATATCAAAGCTGGATTGGTGACCTGTCCAGGGTGTACCCCGCCTTCGCCCGATTGCCGGCCAGGATTGGCTCCAGTGAGCAAATGTACTTTGTTACATTCCACCACCAGTATCCAAATATTGTACTCTACTTCAATGTGTTTAATAACTGGTGTAAGGACATGGGCAGGAATTTGGGAAACTCACCTTTTGCCATCTGACTTTAAGTGCAGGGTCTCTAAAGGACTGACAGTGCTTGTGGATCTGTTGAATGACACCCTGGTAGTACACGGTGGAGGAATCATAGTTCCCCAGCAAAGCATACTCACGGCCCTTCTTGGCATTGTCACAAATCTCTGCCAAATCCATGCTGATTAATAGTTAGGCCTATATAGTGAGGGGAAAATGACAAGTAACTTTTTGACTGAGCACTGAACAATGGGCTAGCACATGTTGGTTAGTTTCAACATTTTATTTGTGTATATATTTTATTTGCATTTCATAGTAAGTACACCACATATATGGGGATTCAAATCATGCAACTTACAGTGAATAGCACTGGTGTTCTATCAACATATATTTAACAACGTTACATTTGACAATAATTTCATCACTGGTAAATGCATGTACCTAATTCATGTGTCATCTACAATACTAGTTATAATAGGTTTCCATATATTTAAGAATTTCAGATGTACAGTATATGATCAGCCTTTCATATGGAATATCATTCATAACCTTTTCAAACTATATAAGCAAATCAGGGTTTTTGTCACTAATGCATTATCTTGCCAAAAACCAACTATTCTCAAAATATACTTATATATAACAACAAAGTGCAAAGTCCAAAATACATAAAAAAATATGTTGCCTTCCCTGTTGTTTTAAACTAACCCACATTTTCATCATGTCCTCATTGTAAAGCCCACTTATTATTACATGGTGGTGCAGCCGCTCCGTGCAAGTCAGTTCCCAATCAGATAAAACGTTACTAATTGAAATTGCTAACGTTACACTCGGCAGTGTAGCTAAGCTAGCTGCTGTCAGGGACTGTGGTTTTAAATGTAAATCCGCAGACAGTTCACCTGACGGTGCTTCTTGTTTCGGCTAGCTACTCCCTGATTCATCTTAGGACGTTAGACTATGCTAGCTTGATGCTAGGCCGCAGACAACAAAACGAACCGTGTGACAATAAAGAACCTAACTTATTCCTCCCACCATGTGTCAAATAAGCACGTAGATAAAAGCAGTCGAACAACAACCTAAATTATATTCTTTATCCACATATGTGACGTGAAAATAATTCTCATACATACATGAAAAGTACTTGTTTATGTTGTTATTCTGAATAAAAGGTCCAGAATTGAGGAGACTGTTACCATGGCCGCGGAGAGACGCTGTGTGAGGAATTCAGAAGCTTGGTTACTGTGCTGCGTTCATGGAATTATTGAGAGCTGGTAAATATGAAAATCGTGCTAAGTGATCATAGACTGAGAAGAAAACAAAAGGGTACTATTGCCAAATAGAGTAGCACTTTTTGTTTTAAAGGCACAGGGGACAATATGATTTTTCAATTTCTAAAGGGCATTATTAGCTTCATATAAAACGTAACAGTTGGGAAACACAATTTTAACAAGGAAAATGCTAGTTTACACTAGTTCACTAACACGTCATAAGAGCTTTGGCTATTCATAAATTGACCAGTGGTCGGCGGTAAACCCATTACAATTTAAAATTCAAACCAAGATGTATGAATGGTGCTAAAAGTGCTCGGTGAAATGAAAAATACAGTAATAAATAATAATAATAAGAAGAATGCACATTCACGATTCCATGACAACTGAGTAGGACCAAGTGATATGATCGAAAGCTCCAGAACAAGTTACTAAATGGACTTGGAGGTGAGTATGTTTTGTCCACATTAAACAAAGCAAACTAGGATGAAGCTACTAAAACGAACAAAAATAAAACAAATAGAATGCCTGCTTTATAAATATTATTTATAATTGACATGTGTTAAGTAATTATAAGTAAGTTATACTTTAAAACCAAGTACAGAAAGATAAGTCTAATGCTACCTTCTACCACAGCCATGTCTTGGCTTACTACTAATAATAATAGTGCCCTAATAATAACAATCATGCTATTAAAAATAATAATGAATTAGCATATACTCTAAGGTGCAAAAATGTCAGCATATGATTTCCATTTACGAAATCTGTCAGCAAAACTGAAACAGGTAATGATTTCCAAAGACAAAGGAAACCGTGTGTTAATGTCCTGAATTAACTGCAACTGTATTCTCTACTTACTGAAGCAATCACTTTTCCATTATATATACAGTACATTAGGAAGTGTGGTATGTTGTCTGAATGAACCTAAAATGGCAGAAAGTACTGCTCTTATTTTACCAAACAAAAATACACCAGAAACCTCAAAAATTAAAACTGCTCTGATAAAACCACTTTTATTGATTTGCATCTTTATACTGTTACACATCAAAGTGTTTGCATTATTGTACACATGCAACAAACAACAGTTTCAATTTTCCTGATTGGTCGCATCATGAAATCAATGTTTTTTCCCATAATTCATTGTCTGCATTGAACTCTGTAGGCAAATTGTAGTGCTGCTAGACAACGCATTGCATTTTTCGAGTCAAAGTGATTTTAGGTGCAGTTTGAGGTGCATATATTTGGCATACCTTTATATCCACTCATGTATTTCACTGAGATGTGGATTTAATATAGTGACGATTTATATACCCAATACTGTCGTTATTTGTGTCATACAGCAGGCAGGGAAAATGTAAAATCATAAGAAGTATCAGTCACAGGCCTTCAAGAATTTAGTCTTAGTGTTAGAAAAGCTCTGTTCAGCACTGTTTTCCTAGGAAGCATGACTGTTCCTGATAGCTGTAATGACCTTCATGCACATCCAGAACAGGGGTGACCTCAGCACTGACAAGTTGCTGCCTCCTGCTTTCTCTGGTCCCACATATGCTGTGCACTGCTCTCATTCAGCTGCTTCAGTCTCAGAGGTTTGTGGCTCTTCAGCCTATAAGCTAAAGTCAGAAAGATAGCATCAATGTGTTCCTTTTCAGCAGGGTCTTTGGCTGAAGTCTCAAACAGTGGGAAGTTGTACCTGTCAGCAAGACATTGGGCAAACGACATGGGGACCTCCTGGCAGTCCCTCAGGTCACACTTGTTGCCCACTATGATGCGTGGCACCAAGGGCCCCACAGAGTGTCGGCTGCACTCTTCAATCCAGTCAGGGATGCTCTCGAAGGAGGAGAGGCTTGTCACGTCGTACACAAAGATGACAGCATGGACGCTGCGGTAGTAGTGCTCCACCATGCTCTTCCTGAAACGCTCCTGACCAGCTGTGTCCCAGATCTGCAACTAGCACATCACAAACAGACAATGATATCCCTAAACCATGTTTAAATTACAAGATGTGTTATTTTTCTTCTTGTCAACCAATCCCATGTACATACACTACATGTAGTGACAGAAGTTTACATCTCTGATTTATCAGTCATAGAAACAACTCAAATCTGTGAATTTGTGAAGCTAACGTTAACAACTAATTGCCAAAAAACTATACATAATTAAAAAACTTCTGGCAAAAAAAACACGCCAATTATAAACCTGTATGTTGGCTAAACAAAACGTGGCCTCATTTGGGTATTTAAATTCACTTGTTTTTTTTGTAGACACTACAGTGCTAAAGACAGCCACAGTGGACATTTTGTTGTCAACTAGTAAAAGACTTATGATCACATCCTAATATGTGCCTTAACTTATTTTATGTAAACATGGAAACATTTACAACTGGTTTACCTTTTAGCAAATAATGCTAATTAGATGAAGCCAGGACTCATATATAATAGCAAGATGTTCAGAGGTGAGAGACTGAGCAGCTGAGGATATTCATTCTGCTACCTTCCGTTAGGCTATAGAGTTATAATGTCTACTACAAAGTGGTTTTTACTTGGAGATGGTAGGATATGTAACCTCCCAGTAGTGGTGTCATCATCATGCACATCCTTGAATTTTCTCCTCCTCCTCTTTATATAGTCTACAGAATATGTCCAGTTGAACCGTAGCTCAGGGAAACGATCTGTTTGTGGGGCCTCTCACCTTGATTCTCTCCCCATCGAGCTCCAGCGTCCTCTCTCTGAAATCGACCCCGATCGTTGCTTCTGGGTTTTTCAGGAAAGTGCTCCCGCAGAATCTGTAAGTCAAACAGGTCTTCCCCACATTTGAATCACCTATTACTATTATCTTAAAAATGCGAGTTTGCACCTGCTCATAATCGTGGTTGCAAGAGAGCTCTAAGGAGTCATTTGGACTGAAAACTGTGTGAAATTCCTCCCCATGATTGTTTATTATTGCCATGTCTCATCTTCTCGCCGTCTGAATGCATAATGTGAACGACGTTGCTAAAACATCGCGAGACTGTGAGGGAGAGCATGCGCTTATACTGCACAGCCACGAGTATAAATATTATTCACTACTTTAACTGAACGGCAATATTCGTTTTACATAAAGAATTTTTCAAAAAAAAAACATTTGTTTTAGTTGCCAAAACCTTTCTCCCACTTTCTTGAACGAGTCTACCAAAAAAGAAAAAAGAAAACGCAGTCTACTTTTGTTATACGTAACGTATCAAGAATATCAAAATAACCGATTTCAAAATAACATAGGTCTATAGAGTTACTGATGCTAATATGATGTTACTGATGTTAATATATAATTTTAATGTTTAAGGTAGTAAAGGTAAATGGGGTAAAGGTAGTGTAATTATGTTACTTTATGTAATCCTGGGTAGGTTATGAATTTCCCAATTATCTTAACATATAATAATAGACCATCATTTATTTCCTGATTATATAGTTTGTGCTAATTATCAGAATTTGGTGTTGTAGTAGAGTAAACAATTATATTTGCCTCTAGAAATGTACTGGCGTAGAAGCATGAGATACTTGCATAAAATGAAAGTGCTCAAGTAAAATACAAGTACCTCTAAATTGTACTTAGGTACATTTTTAGCTGCTTTGACCACTGAATATAAATGAATAAGTGATGTTTTTACTTTCATGTCTGATTTGGGGATTATTCAGACATGGTAATCAAGAAACCAACCAATACCAAATGCACAGCCTATAAATACGAAACCAGAAGATATCTAATAATGGAAATTAAATGCAAAGTAAATACAGTATATGCACACAGTCTTGGATTAATACAAGTGAATATACAAATAATACCTACCTATAAATAAACATGAACCAAACACAATAAAATCCATTTTTTTGCCATACAATGTATGATTTTGTTTATGAAACTCATTGTAGTCTTTAATCCACAAGGTAATAGGCTTATATTTTTTAAAGTTATTTTTGTCTTGCTATTTCTCATGCTATGAAAATATTTTTAAAAAGCTTATGGAACTTGAACTTTTTAAAATGTTTGTTGAAAATAATGAAATCCAGATAGTATAGTGCATAAATTAATTTTGTTTTCCAACTCATTAGTCTCATAGTAGTCACAGATCTTCCCATGTCCACCGACCCCTATGCAATATTCAGTTCAACATGTAGTAGCCATATACATGTAAATACTTCGATACTACTAGTGTTGCAAATTCATTAGCACTTCTGAATCTTGTAAAGTTTGGGGGGTGGGGGGATAAACAAATTCTCTTCTGCATCAGAGATGAACAGATGTTTATTTAACATGCATGGAATTCAGGTGTTGCCACAGTGGTTTCCTTTCTCACACACATTCAAAAGTTTCATAATGCAACTCTTCAGCTACCAATCACACAGTAAGACAACAATGACAACTACACTAATTTACCAGTTTATTTTGGTACAAATTGCCAAAACTAATACAGTCATATACAACAACCATGCAATAAATCACAGCTAATAAACTGGTACCTGATTGTGTGGTGTGGTTAGGGATGAAAATGGCTTTGCAACAGTTTTACATCAAGACAAATTGTCCAATTAAAAAAATTCATCAGGATCAAACAATACTCAAAACACTGAATTTTGATTTGTGATTGTAAAATAAGCATTATATTCAAAGAAAATCACAGATACAAAAACACATACACATGTACAATAAAATTGCTGACAATTGTAGGCAATTTATCATTTGTCACTAAACCTACATTATTTTACGACATCTCTAAAAATGTCAATGATGGCATACAGGCTTTTACTGAAGCCTAATCCTGAGCGAGCGTACAGTACATTGGCTTCTACATTTCATACAGTAGGTTTCACAGCTGTGAGGCATCTTGATGAGTATCACCAACACAAAAGGGGCCACATATTTTAAAGCCCTGTATATGGCCAGTTGTGTCTGAAGTCATATACATGAGGCACTTGAGCTGCCTACTGTCCCAAAGTCACAGTTGTGATTTTACACCAAGTATAGGCAGGTGAGCTCCTGCATTGAAGCTAAATAGCATGCTATTGGCAAACATTTTGGTCATAAACTTTATATAACACAACACAAGCACTAGCACGGAGTCTTAAAGCATTAAAAGGGATGCTCCACCAATTTGACATTACTAATCATAGGGAGTACTACTCAACATGTGTAGACTGTTTCATGTATAATGTATTTTGTAGCTCTGGAAGAGCTTTCTTAAGTCTAAAAAAGTTCTCCGCTAACTCTACCTGGGTATCTTAAGTTAGGTTTGGAGTGTACACTTGTTTAATAGAAAGCCTGCTTTACAAACTGAGTGGGAAGAATGTGGGTGGTCATCCAGCCGGAAGGGTCAGTCAAAAGAACCAATTAAAGCTACAGTATGTTACTTTCTTATAATATTTTGAGTTGAAATATGGTGAAGTGCTGTCAGAGGTGACTCAGACTCACTGAACAGCCTGCCTGTAGTACAGAGATATTCTTATGAAATTTCAGAGCAAGCCTCATCTTTCTAACCCGTCAGAGAAAGGATAAGTCTCACAGCTGTTTCCAGCCCACTACACTGCTTGCATTGAAGCTTCAAGTTAGCAGTAGATGTTGGAAGATGTCAAGATAGCTGACTTGCAGGCTAGAAAGCTCTGGAAATCTGGAGTATCATGCTAGCACTAGATTGATTTTCAGAACTTGCATATTGTCATTTCCAGGTTGCAGTACAGCAGTGGCTCCCAAACCTTTTGTCCGGGTCTCTTGCTATATGGACAATGAACTCAAAGAGAGGCGCCTTTGTATTTGACTGCTGTATGAGCATCGCACATTTTTCTTTTCCAACATTACAAATGGTCAGATACTCTTGTACTTTAAATGTTAGTTTGCTTGTTAAATGAATCTTGATAGCCTTGGTAGCATCGCACCTCTCTTAAATTAGATTTCCAGACACTTCTTGTAGCTGACACTTTTGACTTGTCATAGCAGAAAAAGCACAGGTGCAACTAATAACGTTAAAAATGGCTCAGTTCCAGCAATTATTGCAGTCCAATGCAGCAATTCAATATTGTATTAGTAACACCAATGTCTGACAAGTGTTTCTGCTGTGAAAAGTTATATTAAACTTCTAATTTAAATTAATTTCTTTGGTCTTGTGTCTAACCTGTAAATGCAAGTCAGAGAACTACTGCATTATGGGAAGTGTAGGATCCTGTGTTATTTTACACATGACCTTAAAAAAAAAACTCTAGATACACCAACCTATGCCTCCTTGACTTTGATCAATCATTATTAGTCTAGTTCTGGTTCCCCTAATTGTATGATAGTGTAGTACTACATCTCTGGAGTACTCTTAATTCAGCTGCCCGTAATAATATACTATATTGGGACCTACAGAGTGTAGGATTTATTGTGTATTTGTCTTGAGTTGTTGTGCAAATAAGATTCTATCCAACATACTGTCCTTCATGCTGGCAGGGTCAAAGAACAAAGACCTTTTTCTTGGCATTTGCTCTGTGTGAAACATAAATAAAAAGAATCAGAAAAAACAAAATGTTTTTTTCTCTCCTCCTGTGAATAATCATTAGCCACACATGTGAAAAGATTTCACATAAAACAGAGATTTTTCCACTTTTCTTACAAGTGAGTACTAATTTAATCTGAATCTGTGACCTCTCATACAGACACAGAGGGACACAGAACCCTGTAAATATCCATTAAATTATATCTGTCACATTCTTTCTTTGACAGTACATTTCACTACCAGTTCTCATCGGAGAAAGAGCTAGAGCTGCCAGAGTCAGAGTCCGCATCTGTCAAACCATCAAAGTCCCAGTCAGCGCTGGAGCCACTGTCATCATCCTCCTCTGTAGAGAAGCTGTGAGCAGAGCCCAGGCATGCTGGGTACACGCGTGTTGAAACACACACTGGCCCCAAGGTTGACACATATACTGCCATGACATTGTTCCAGGTGTCCCTGGCTGGGTCGTATTCATGGATGAGGACCCTGTTTTTGTTGTGCTGCAGTAAAGTTTGAGTGAGGAGGAGAAGTTTGTTGTTGTGCTGGATTACTTGGTAATTTAGAGCCCGACTGTCAATAGGAATGTCACCCAGTCTCTTCCACTCCCCCCTAGTGGGGCTGTAGGCTTTCACCACAGGGATGTCACACACACAGATGATCTGGTCCTGGAACACACAGGCCTTGTGAAGCTTGTCTCTTCTCAGTGATCCACAGTGGCGCCAACGGTTCCTCTTGGGATCATAGCAAAGCATTCTCCTTTTGTTTACCACATACAGGTGGTCATTTAATGCCACCACCTGCATCTTACCCAAAGAGTGAGGAAGAGGAGCCACAAATGTCCACTGGTTCCTCTGGACACTGTAGCACTCAACCTCCTTCAGTCTGGTATCTGTCAGTGGATTTCTTCCTCCCAGAAGGTACACATGACCGTTAAGGTAGCCCATCCCAGAGTGTATCCTCCCCAGTGGTCTTTCTGCCAGCTCCTGCCAGCTGTTAAACACAGGGTTGTACAGCCAGAAATGTTTAGAAAGGTGGGAGGCTAGGTACAGGTTGTTTTCAGGTGTGGCACAGGCAATTAAGGACTCCATGGTGGAGCGTTTGTAATCCTGACTGCTGAGGTCCACTAAAGGAGGAGCCATGAAATACAGGTCTTCTGAGTAAGGGTCACAGCACATTATGTTGTCATTAGGCAGGCCAAAGAAAAGAATCATTTCTTTTGCACTTACACCTATTCTGTTTTTTGGTACATCCAGAGTTGCAAGCATCCTACAGCTATCATCTGCAGACCTGTTAAAGAAAGATGCAAGGAAGCCCTCAATCAGAGGCCTTGCCATGAGGTCCTCTAGGTAACACTTATCCTTCTCAGTAAACAAGTTCCAGCGTACACACTTGAGCGCCTGTAATGCATCCTCTCCATCCTGTGGTGCATTAGCCTCTATCCACTGCAAAGCAGCAGAGCATACCTTCCTTTCACAGTCCACATCCAAAGTGTCCAGAGACAGCAACTCCTTTAACTGCATCAAATCCAGCTCACAAAGCTCCCCTCCATTACACACTTGGCTAAAGTTCCTGGCTATGAAAGCTTGTGCATTCTCCTTCAGCTCAGGGTTGTCATAGGTGTCTGCAAATTTCAGGATCCCCACACAGTTGGACAAGTCCAGCCTCCTTGTCATGAAGCTGGAGCAAGCTTTCTTGATGTACTCAAGCTGAAGCATGTTTGAGGCTGCGTATAGCCTCTGAACGTTGCTTTCAGTGACAGTCACCCTGCCAGTGTAACAGTAATCGATGATAACCGACATGGATTCAGCGTCCACGCCGTGGATGACCACTCTCTCCTGTATGCTCTCATTTAATCCCCCGGTGAACATGCTTTTGAAGTAAGGACTGGCCGCAGCGAGGACGTTGCGGCTACACAAGAAAAGTTGGTCAACGTTACCTGCGGTTGACTCAACGCCGGGCTCCAGTGACTCCCCTTCACACCCAACTCCGATTGTAACGTCTCCCAGCAGCCGAGAGTCGTACAGCAATTTCAACTCTTTCATCAAACCCCAAGCGTGATTCACGTCTTCCAACACCTCGGGACCACTGAAGCAACTCAGCCCCGAAGCCATCGCTGCAACTTCAGTGACCAATTTCCTGCTTTACGTTGACGTACACGAAGGTTTCACGTGACATAACGCGAAACAATCTATACACTGACAAAAACACAACCGTTTATAAATGAAAATTCAATATATGCGGTGGGAAAACACCATCCTAGCGACTTAACAGCCGGGCGGTCGCCTGTGTATTTGAAAGCCAACAAATCTTGGCCTCCAAATAATCATAAGATCACATATATATATCCCGAGAGTAGCTGTAACAGTAATATCAGTTTTCTTCGATTTTCTGATCAATGCCCTTATCTGTTTTGAGTGTTACAAACAGACATGGCTCTCATAAAATAACAGTGTCAATTTTACCAACGTTGGGTCTACCTTTTCCGAGATTAATCGCCAAATTAATGCTTCTGGTGGCGCACAGATTTTTCTTTGTTTCACGTTATATCTAATTCGACAAGTATCTTAGGGTTTTTAACGTCAGTAGTCATATTGATAATTTTTCACTACTTAAATTTCTCTTTTTAAAACACAAAATGAAAACATGTAATCTCTTATTTTGAAGGCAATATTGACTGGCTTCCGCTCCAGTTCACTACCCGTTCACACAACCTTGCTTAAAAGAATCACGTTTCTGATTGGCTTGCGTCACCACGTTGATTATGTTTGATTGACCGGGCTGATACATCAATAGATTAAAGTATCAAACGTAATGATTTAATCAAAGTTGCATTTAATTGTATTTATTTTATTTTGAATACAGGGTGTGTTGCAATTATGTTCAAGTCATACTAACACTACTACTAATAGTAGTAATAATAATAACAATAATAGTTGATGAATTAATCTAATCAGTCAAACAATCATTTCTGTCATGTATCACACAAGGATTTACTACCTCTCTTATTTACATTATTGTTAATTGAATAGTTTTTGGTTTTGTACTACTTCTCTGACAAAACAAGTAATTTTAAGATTACAATCATTTCTGTCATGTATCACACAAGGATTTACTACCTCTCTTATTTACATTATTGTTAATTGAATAGTTTTTGGTTTTGTACTACTTCTCTGACAAAACAAGTAATTTTAAGATTTTAATTGGAATAATAAAAAAAGGATTTTAATCAAAATGGTCCCTAAAATTAGCTTTGTATCTTTATTGCAAAGTTGATTTCTTACAAGACAAAAAGTAGCCCATGTTTCTCATTTGTTTGTTCGGTGATGCTCAGTATGTTTATTTGAGATTGCTTACAGTGTGTAGTATAGCCTAACTATATGCTTGTAAGACAAGAACAAGGGGAATACAGCTGTGTGTGTTTTGATCCAGCTTTAAGTGTATCTTCGGTTGAGGTCGTTGATCCTGCGTAGAGCGTCTTGGTTATGGATGGTCTTGTGGACTGTGATGAGGAAGGGGAAGGCAGAGGGAAGCTCCACCCGATGGCTCAGCTTCTGGTGGCCCCAGTGGAGGCAACGCAGCCTCTCAGCCAGGTCCCGTCTGCCTGCTCGCTCCAGTCCATCTTGAAGCAGTTTGGTCTTATTGGGCTTGTCCCATGACTTCTCATACCTGCAAATAAAGATGGACATCTGGGAAACATCTGAAACTAAGGAAGGGAAACAGGAGAAAGTCAGTGATATGTATAGTGCAATGGAGTTGTATTCTGTTGCTATAGAAAGCCCAAAAGTTAAAGCCACAGGAAAGCACAAATAACTTACTAAACATAAGTTAAAGTCCTGATCATGTGTTTATGTTTTTAAAGAATGCAGTGGTTTTAAGTTAGTGAATAAACATTGCAAACAATGATGGGAACCTCTTGATGATACTCTTATGTTAATTTTCTGTCCATTAGCTACACCGCTAAAGGATGGGCTGGAGCTAGCGCCGACTGACACTGGGTGAGTGGCAGAGTACATCTTGGACAAGTTGCCAATCTGTCACACATTCACACCTACGGGCAATTTCAAGTCACTATTTAACCTAAACAGCATCTCATTGTACTGTGGGAGGAAGCCAGAGTATCTGTAGGAAACTCATGAAGGCACAGGGAGAATGTGCAAACTCCACACAGAAATGCCCTGGTCAGCCAGCAGGTTTGAAACCAAAATCTTCTTGTTGTGAGGCAACAGTGATGCCACCCATTATGTCACACACATGCGTACACTGTACCAGCTTTCCAACATGGTCCTGGCCTGGACACACTTCTCTGTCGAGTTGGTGTGGAACCGGCCTATCTCAGTTCTGTTGAAGCCAAGCTCATATGCCAAAACTGTCCACTCAAATCCAAGCTCTCTGGAAATCTCCTCCAATGACTTTACATTAATTACAGCATCCTGAAAATACAAAATAATATGCAAAATCACCTAAACAGAAGGGGGATTAAAAATTATTCATTACTTTTAATAGAAAGAATCACTTTTAATGAATGTGAGTAAAATATCTTTGCTGATTTAATATCCATGAAAGTGAAAACAGATTACACATACCTCTTGGGCTTTGTTGGGCATTATCTCAAATTCCAAAAGTTCAGTAGTGCAAGCCACACTCTAACCACATAACCTAATATAATTTTGAGAACAGTATTAAATTTCCCCACTGTGGGATCAATAAAGTACCTGCTACTACTACTACTAAACATACATTTACAGTCCAGTTCCAGACAGAAGGTACAGATGTTTATCACTTACCCTAGTATGCCAAAAGCTTGGTTTGTGTTACTGAGGAGACTCAACATCAACATATTAACATGTTAATCATTAGACGCTTTAGTTCCAGGGTCCCCTGTGGAGCTAATAATAGTGTCAGGTTAAGCCACTCCTGCTTGCTACTAGGTAAACAAGTGAACTGAGGAAAAATTTGCATGAATTCCCTATGATTTTATTTTAGAAGTGCTTCAAAATTGTGTGAGGCTGCAAGATCAAGGAAAATTTCATTTGGAATTAAGAATCTTTTCTCATTAGGTTGAACTGTGTTTATAAAGAAATTAAAAATAATCATTCCTTATTTCTGCACATATACAGCATTGTTAACGCATCAATTGTCTCTTCTAAACAAATGTCACTCAATCAAAAAGTACACAAAATACTGATAAATACCAAAACATAATAATGTCAGATCATCACTGTGCACAGTGGTGTAACAATGACATCTGCAGTCAAGCTAATCCCTTTTAAATGGTTTTACCAGTTTCCCTTTACATTTACTTGATTGGTTAGCTATATTCAAGGAAGACCAGAAAATTGCAAAAATATTTTCAAAGGCTTTTATTCACTTTAAAAATTCGTCTCCTCTAAATTCTTGTCATAAAGAGCATTAAGTCTCTATGTGCAATTTAACTGCAGTGATTATGTTTATCAAAGAATGTTAAAAATAATAGCTGTCATTTAAACAATGTTAGAAAAAAGTTAAAGGATAAAATTTGTATACTTAAATTAACAAATGTCATACTTTACTAGCCCTAACCCCTTAACAAAGCAGATAATATACTTTAATCATAGTACTTATCAAAAATGCTGTGAGGTGCAGTTAACAAATATAACTGACAGGAATAACAGGAACAGGATGTAACAAAATATCAGACAGCACAGTCTGACCAAAACATAATAATTGGAAAATTATTCAGATGAAATCAATAAAAGCCTGTACAAAAGCGTGGGCTATTTTTTAAGCTTTCAACTGGAGAGAAATTTTCATTCTGTTGAAGGCAAGCCTTACTTATCCACAATGACAAATCAAAAACACATATAAAAGAAAAACCAGTTAACATTTAATAAGCCAGAATATTGCTAGGTCGTTTTACAGCATGTCAGCCTGTGTTTCAGCAGGTAGTAAGGTAAAGATCCAGCCTGCTGGACCCATACTGTCCTCTGTCTCCACATTGTCCCTTAACTTGGGTTATTGTTTATAGTGCTTTTACTAAACATTAACAGTCACTCTCTGTTGGGTTACAGCTCAAGACTGAGTCCTCCTGACAACAAAATTGTAAATCATTTGGCTCCCATGCTGATTTATCCTGTGCACCTGTTGAAAGTTTATTGTTTATTTGGGTTCAGTAGCAGCCATCTTTCCAGCTGCCATCCCTCAGGGCACTCAGGGCAGCCAGGCTCTTTGGAGGAGTCAGCAAACTGCAGATGGAAATAAACCGGTTAGTTAAATATCTACTGTTAAAAAAGTCAAATAAAACCATGTTCCATCTTTTCAGGTATCACAAAGGAGCTGGTTTTAAAGTCTGACATTTAAATATAGCACCTCCCTCAGATTTCTTTCATTTTCAAACTTGTAGTCTTCTAACTCAAGTGACATCACTTAAGGCAGTTTTTCAGCTTCCCCTGAAGCCACTAAAGGCTTTTTACTTTTTTCACCTTTGCATTAGTACTCATAAAGATCTGTAAACAGATTGTGCTGTGTAAACCTAGTGGGGGTCCCCTCTAAAAATCACTGCGTCCATGTATCTGTACTTACCTTCGAGTCGCTTGAGTGATTTTGCTTGCACGTGGAACTCCACTTGTTCCTACAAAGGAGGCTGGGCGAGGAAGGGAACTGCGAGGGACAACTATCTGGTTGGTGCTGGCTTTTAGGGGCTGTAGTACTAAACTGCTGCTGGGTTTGAGGGGCAGAGGCAGTGCAGCACTGTTGGGGATAGAGTGTAGACTTGTAGAGGTGGACAGAGAGGTGGAGGTGGGGCCCTGCTGCACTGTGGGGCTTACATAGGCTGTAGCTTTTATTGGGTTTCGGGGAGTGGTGGGGAAGTTTCCCACACTTTGAACACGCTGACTGAGCTGGCCTGGGGTAGGAACTGACAGAGACACAGCAAGAGAACAGTTAGATGAACTCCAACATCAGTGACAGTATTGCAAATACTGCATTTAAAACTGCCTTCATAAGACAGAACTCTATATTAACCTATGAATAACACCGAGCCTTGTATGGCTTGTTTATTCATAGATGTGTAGAAACGAGCCTTACTGGAGGCCTGGAGTCGTGCAAGCCCATTGGATGAGTCAAAGCTCTGGCTGCTCCGCAGGGAGGATATCATTGGCAAGGAAGAGGGACCGTGGGAGGGTGGGTTGACAGGGGAAGCCAGACATGGAATACTGGGAACACTGGGCATGCTGGGAGCTCGGATCAGGTTGGGCATGCTTCTCCGTAGTTTGTCTATGCAACCATATCAGAAAACCAGACCAAACTTTATTTGGATCTTAGGAAGTTTACATTAACATTTCCAACATTAAAGAAACAGTCTGACATTTTGGGGAATACAAAAGTCACTGTTTCCAGTTAAAAACACAGTGTGTGCACAGAAGGTGTAGCGTGGGCAGCACGTTACCAAAGCAGCAGCTTCAGTGCCTTCAGTGTTCATGTGTGTCTACAGGAGGCATTCAGGCACGGTGTTGATCTGTTTCCAGTTTTTATGTTAAGCTAAGCTGCTGGCTGCAGCATCATATTTTCTGTACAGACATGAGAGTGGTATCAAAAGTCTGATCTAACTCTTGGCAAGAAAGCAGATTTCCCAAAATGTCAAACTATTTTTCAAATTCTGGCTTAATTACACAAAAAAATACATAGTATGTGAAACGCCTCATAGGGTAAACATTTTCATATTTACTCCTCTTCATGACAGCATGAAAACATCAGACAGTCACACTACTGAGTACGCTGACCCTAACTGAGGGTTTTTAAATCCTTTTAAATCCATCTTGGCACATACGCAAAAACCGTCTGGTCAGAAATTAAGGACATCTTACATGTGGGTGATTTTGTCAAGCTGCTTTCACTCTGAATTGGGAAATTCATACCCATATCACAGAAAAAAAATCTGAACCCTTGAAGATGGAATTCATTAAACACATACCTGTGCTATTTCTGTATGCTGTGTGTGTTTCTGTGGTCAGGCTGGAGGGTCCAGAGTACTGGGAGAGTCCACTGAGTGAAAACTGAGGGGTGAGTGAGCTGCGTCTACAGTCTCTGATACTAGAGAAGGTGTGGGAGTGGGGCAGGCTGCCCCGCTGCATAGACCCTGTGCGGAACAGTTGAGGCTGGGGAGGAGGGAGCTGGTCATACCCCTCGTCCTCCTCATCTTCCTCCTCCAGATCCATCTCACTGCGCCTGAGGGAGTGTAAGGAAAAGCTGGAGCTGCGACGGCTTGGTGTGGCTGAGGTAGAGGCATAGTCCTTTCGGAGACCTACGGGGCGACAGATTAATACTTTAATCAGTGGAAAACCTGAACCTGGCCCTCATATGGTATATGATACATTTCCTTCTGGAGACAGACCTCGTCCATTATTCAGTCACTAAATCAGTGGCCCAGACCAGAATAATACACACCTTCACATGAAGATATTACTGCCTACTGAAGTTCAGCTGTTCGAAGATCAAATACTGATCTAGCCATACATCAGCAATCTGCTGTACCAGACATTTCAGTCTCATCAGGAGGCTATGCATGAATGTTTTACTATATAGATGGATGTATCATATACCATATGAGGGCCAGGTTCTATATGCAAGAACAGGCTTAATGATTAATTAGATGGAACATTGTGGGTGTGGTGTATGAATTTTAACTCTCTGTAATAATTCTTTAGTATATTACTTGTGTGGTGTAGAAGAGAATTATTTAAGAATGTAATTATGTAAGAATGTTAACACTCTGTTATAATTTTTTTAGTATATTACTTGTGTGGTGTAGAAGAGAATTATTTACGGCTTGCAAACCAATGATGGTAAGATGATGTCATGGGGTAGGACTGGATAAGTCTGACTTCTTCCTACTCCATTCAAGCATGTACTAGGTATAAGCAAATTGATATTGGATTAGCATTTGTTGGATATGTGTAAAATTATGTGTGTTGACATATCAACTGTCTTTACATGCTTGAAAGAATAAATCAAATCAAATCAAATCAAATGTAATTCACTTGTATCATCCCAGGTATTAATGAACAATAACAAAAAGTATAAAGAAAAGTGTAAGTACACTGTAAGCAGTATAAAACAAAGCAGTTAAAATATGTTCATTAAGATGCATCTTGAATCTGATAAACACAAAGTTATGTTACCACCTCTTGGAAAAGGACTTAAATCTTAAGTAGTAAATCACGGTTATAATCTCTGAATACCAATTAGCAGCATTTGTGTTACATTGGATTAATCAATAATGAAATAGCTGAAACCCTAGTGCTAAGATACCTCACATTCCACAAACCCTGAAAAACAATATCTGACACTACTGCAGTCTGATAATCATTGTAAACAAAAAAATGAAATCATATATATTTAGTGGACAGACACTGGACACATACTGCTTAATTGTATGCATCTTATGTATATCTGTATATATATTTTTCATGAAGGAATACACATTTAGGTATTCGACTCACTCTCCTCCTGAAGTCGTGCCATCACCTCCACGTCTGTCATGTCCTGCAGTTTGTAGCTCATAGTGATGGCGTCATCCTCCAGTTCTGACACACCCGCCTCGCTGTCCAAGGAAGACTGGGGGCTGATGGCAGCATGCTGGCGACCCATGTCTAGAAACACACATGACAGACATATCTGATCAAGATCATAATCCTTCTACAGCCAAGGATGAACAGGTGCAGCTGCAATGATTTTAACAAAATGCATGTGATACTCAACACACAGAGAAGACATTTCCATAACAGATGTAACGTTTACTGTATATGTGTATAATCATGACAGATGGATGCTGCTTCACCCCAGAAGAAACTGCAGAAATAACGACGGTGCAGAGAAGACAGATTGTGAGTGAGATCTTACTGTTGAGAGTGGAGTTTGATAGGAAGGTTGGTGCTCTGTCACTGAGGCTGCAGCTGGACCTGAGTGGGAACGTTGGCTGGAGAAAAGGCTGGCTAGATGACGGCAACGGGGCTTGAAGGGAGAAAAATGCAGCAGAAGAGAGCGAAGATTCAATCACTGATGCTCATCTCTGGCTTTTGTGTAAATCTAAAATATGAATGAGCAGGCAGAAGGATTATATTGCTTGTCTCCATCTGTCTGTGGGTATGACCTTATAATCTTTTCCCTGCAATTTGCTGTAATCAGATTGTAAACTGCAAGTAACAGGTTGTTTAAAAATCTGGGTTATGAATATACAGTGAGCTCCAGAAGTAAGGAACAGATGCTCTTATTACTTTGGGCATTAAATGACAAAAAAAGCAGTGACCATGAGGTTAAAGGAAAAAAGTTGGTTTTAATTTGAGTAATGAAGTATGTAGTAAGTATGTTTGTTTACCAGACAGACAGACAGAATATAAGCTAATTAGCCTTCATATGCTCCTTATGTGGCCATTTATTTTAATTTTGTTAGTTGCTATTTTGTTATGTTGTTATATTTTGAGCTGAGATCAGCAGTGGTCTGTAGTTTACAGAAGTGTGCTTAAGTCTCCACACTAGCAGGATCAAACAAAACACTGTAACGGCTTATTACTACTGATAATAACAAATTAATGATAATGTTTGTGACGTGATAAAGAAAATTGTTTACACTATGAGACAGTAAATTTATTTAATACCAGTCTCCCCACTAACAAAACAGAGTAGTGTGTGTTCAGTGATTTTTCCATTAATGTGTATGTGTATTAGATAAATACGGAAACCTTGACCTCTACAAATGATGCTCTGAAACCATCACCTGTGTGGACAGCAGGGGTTATATGTATGTGTAGTAAGACTGTGTTACCTGGGGACTCAGTTAGTGCTGCAGATTTAGCATAAGGCAGGACAGGACAGCTGAGAGTGGAGAGCCCCTCTATGCAGCTGTAGGGACGGACAGAGGAGACTCCTCGCCACCTCTTAGCTAGGCACAAAATTGCAGCGAAGGACATGTTAGTCTGATTTCTTTACCATGTTAACACACATACAGTACATTGATGATATCTGACATGTGAATCTGCTTGTTACAGATCAGTATTGATGCTTTAAAATGATTTGATCACGGCTTGGACAGAAGAGGATGATTCAATACGATGAGGTCTAGCTTACCACTGGCTTACTGGGCTAAACTACAGGGTTTTTTTTTTGGAAGGATCTTAGGGATAAGCAGGGATTGTGCATGTAGGCTACATCCCATTCCCAGAATCAGAATTAGACCTACAGTAGTGTACTCTGGGGTGTAGAGTCCACATTTATACTGCTTAGGTTTGAGTTTTTCTGCTGTATTAATTTCATGGTACAACAATGTCAAAACATAAACTTTAAAGGTAGGGTTTCAGAAGCATTTTTGTTACACTTATTGAAATTCTCTTTTCATCCTGACGGCAATGAATACATTAAATGCACTGACAACATAAAGGAAAAATCCATCATATGTGGCAGCACCAGGGCTGAACAAAGCCTGACCAGTAATTATACCTGGTGTATAATTAGATGACCTACCTGCCTGTCAACCTTACTTCCTAATTGTGTGCACTCTGCCCTTGCGCACATTCCATAAGCAAAGAGTCTCTCACAAGGCGATGCAGCAGACATGTTCCCACTCTGTTTTTATACCTAAAGATAACGAGCTATGGCAGAAAAGGTGGCTACAGCAGCTTTCAGTCACAAATGGAGACCATATTCAAGTAAAACTAAAAAGAAGTTAGATGCGTCAAGAAGTGAAACCAGAATTAACATCAGTGCAGCGTTTGAATGATGACGACAATTTGAGAGAACAAAGGGAGCTGAAAAGTGATGTTGTGGTGGCCATATTTCAGCTGGGCAGGTAATTATTGGTTTTGTTTGGTTTGACGAGGGATTTGTTATTTTCTGGAAATCTGTAAGGAGTATTCAGGCAGTGTGCGCTGTATTTTGGAGGAGTGACTCTGGAGATACGTCAGAAGGAAATCAAATCAAATCAAATCAAATTTTATTTGTATA